GATACAAGAAAGATTAATCCATAAGTCGTCTAACAATTGAGCGAGATATGTCTATCTATCATAAGTAGTGCTTTTAGGTATAAGATAATACAACTAACAGTTGAGGGGGGGGGGGGGTTCTCTATCATATATAATGCTTTTAGGTATAAGACAAGCCGACTAACGATTGAGCGGGAGAATTTTCTCTATCATATGTAGTGTTTTTAGCTATTTGAAAATAAACTTGCTAACAACTGAGCGGAACAATTTTTATCTCTCATATAGTTCTTTTAAGTATAAGATAAGCCGACTAACAATTGAGCGGAAGAATTGTCTCTCTAATATGTAAGGGTTTTAGGTATTAATTTTGCTAATAGTTGAACGAGAGATTTCTCTCTCTCATGTAGTACTTTTAGATATTAGAAGACGGCTAACAATTGAGTGAGATAATTTTCGCACATATATGTATTGCTCTTACACATAAGAAGCTAAGAAGATAAGTTTGCTAACAATTGAGTGAGAGAAATTTCTCTCATATGTAATTCTTTTTAAGTATAAGATAATGCGGCTAACAATTGAGCATGCAATTTTTCGCTCTCATTTGTACTTAATCTTTGCGATATCATACTATCCGAGTATCCGACTAACAAACATAAACTTGCTAATTATTGAGCGAAAAAATTTTCTTTCACATATGTAGTGCTTTTAGGTATTAGAAAATAAGCTTGCTAACAATTGAGTAGAGAAATTTTCATATATGTTGTTCTTTAAGTATAAGATAAGCCAGATAACAATTAAACAATAAAAACTTCTCTCTCACACATAATGTTTTGAAATAATGACTAAAACAATACTTATGAGTTTCCATTTTCCAAATATAGGACCACACTTAAAATTAGACAAAAAAGTGATATACTAATAATAACTGGATCGAAATAACCATGTCGATTCAACCTTGCTTCAGCCATCATCGCATCTCTCCTCCAGGCCATGAATTCCTTCACTATGTGATCCATAAATCCATAACCCAGAATAGATGTTGCGCGCCACCAGACAACCGGTCTCCACCGCCACCAGTCGCCGTCTCCGCCGTTAGCTTGCCCCTCCTTCTCCAAATCGCTGCCTCTGCCTTCACATCGTCGCCCACAACTTCCATGCTTCTTCTTCTTCGTTTTCTGTTTGATGTAAGGTGCAGGAGACGGTGACGACGAGACCACAAGTGAACAAGATGGCTACGACCTCCAATTGGAGATAACTCCGATTTCAGACCGCTCCAGCGGCTAGGTTTCTGGCTAAGGTTGGTTAGGGTTGGGCGGTGGGTTGGGGTTCGGGAGGGGTGGATCTGGACTGGATTGGGCTGATCGTAGGTGGGGCAGGGGAGGGGCGACGGTGGTGCAGTGACATCGCCTCTGCAAGTTTCCTATGCGTTCCTTCTTCTTCATCTTTTCTAACGCAGATCTGGTCCGGCGGCTCGAGTTTCTAGCTACGGTTGGGGCGTTGGGAGGTAGTGGACTGGGGCTGTATTGGGCAGGTCAGAGCAGGGGCCGTGGAGGGGTGGATTGGGGCTGAGCTGGGAGCATGGGTGGAATTGCGGAACATGGGAGGAGGCTGGGATGGACTGGTGGGGGGCAGGATTGGGGAACATGGGAGGAGGCTACGATGGACTGGTGGGGCAGCAGCTGGGTCACCATGGAGGTGCGTGGCGGTGACACCGGGCACATCTGGTTGAGGGTGATGTCGTGATGTGTAAGTGTGTAACTGTCACTGACCTTCTTCATGATGAACGGGTGGTCACTGACGAAGAAGGAGCGGAGTGGCGGCGGCTAACCGGGTCGGGTTTTGGTGGCAGGTGATCGAACAAGGCGTTGGGTCATTAATGGGTGATGGATAACTATAATTGGTTGGGTGGATAACTACGATTGGTTGGGCGAGTAATTATAATTGATTGGACGGGTGACTATAATTGGTTGAACGGGAACTGTAATTGACTATTGGTAATTGTGGTTAGTGTGACGAGTAACGGCAAATAATCGGACGAGTAACTGTAACTAATCGGGCGAGTAACTGTAACTGGTCAAACGAGTAACTGTAACTGGTCGGACGAGTAACTGTAATTGGTCGGACGAGTAACCGTAACTGGTCGGACGAGTAACTGTAACTGGTCGGACGAGTAACTGTAACTGGTCGGATGAGTAACTGTAATTGGTCGGATGAGTAACTTTAATTGGTCGGACAAATAATGTTAACTGATCAGACGAGTAATTGTAACTGGTGGAACGGGTAAATGTAACTTGCGGTGAGTAACTATAATTGATCAGGCCGATAATTGTAATTGATCAGGTAAATAAGGGTAACTAATCTAACATATTCCCTTCGTCTCGATCATTTCTTCCAACTTTCCTTTTTGGGTCGTCCCAATTAATTCTTCTAACTTCCACTTTTAGAAAAAATATGTGGTTCACATTCATTCACTTTTTTCTTACACAACTACAACCATACATGTTCACTTTATTCCAACTACCTAAATTTGGGATATCGGTCAAAACCGGAAGAAATGACCGGGAGGGTCCGTATATAAATGTAACTGGTTAAAAATGTAAGTGTATCTGGTCGAATGAATAACTGATTAAAAATGTAAGTGTAACTGGGTAAATGTAACCGATCGAATGAATAAACTTATTTTAAATTTTTAACAACCATTCTTGATGTACACACCCTTGTACACACCTTATACACACCATGTTTGTGAAGTTTTTTTTTGTCTGTGAATCCGGTTCACAGACAATATTTTGTTTGTGCAAAACATTGTCTGTGAATCGATGTTCACAGACAAAAAAAAAGTTTTCACAGACATAGATGTGTACAAAAGTGTGTTTAAAAATGTGTACAAACATCAATTTTTGAATTTTTAATGGCCATGGCCTGCGTCAGTAGTGGGGAACGATTAAACAACGAGGCATGCATAGTGTTAATGCATACGAAGTGCGGGGTATTATTTGGGAGGGGCATAAACGACATTTGCATTCTAAAATTTACTCGGGTGGTCTCTTTTTTGGAATGGTTGACACTAAGTCTTATATTTGTCTAAATCTACTTGATTAGTAATATTATTGACCTAACCCCTAATGTTTTCAGGTATACGATAAACCGGCTAAGAATCGAGAAGTACTCGTATAATTTTGTCTCTCTTAGGTTAGCACTAATTTAACTAATGAGTAGCAAGTTCTTATTTAACTAATATGAAGTATTCCTTAATTTTAATATTTATTATATTCACTTAAACTTTATGTCAATCACTTATTGTACTCAATTTTTTAGAATAGTATTTAATTTCAGAATTTATTTAATCATGAAAATTAATAAGTTGCAAATTCTAATGAGTGTTGTCAATTAATTTTTCCTAATATACTCTTTATTGAATATTTATTGTATGACTTAGATTTTATGGTATTAGATTATTGTACTATTATTTTTCCAAAATGTTGAAACCTACAAAGTTATTTTTATTTTAATATTTAATTAGATCATGAGTAAAATTATATGATCGGACTGCTCTTTCCTGCGCGTATGCACGGGTACTATACTACTCCCTCCGTCCCTAAATAAAAGCATCCGTTTCCTTTTCGGGCCGTCCCTAAATAAAAGTTCCCTTTCCTTTTTTGGCAAACAAAACAGTGCAAAACAGTGCAAAACAGTGCAAAACAGTGCCAAACAGTGTCCAAACAGTACCAACCAAACCCACCTTCTTAAAATGTGTGGAAAACGAATGGATACTTTTATATAGGAACGGAGGGAGTAGTTATTTATAAAAATATGATTAATAACTATTACAGTATAATCTCATAGTAAAATTGAGTATAAGTTACCATGAGTAAGTTACTACTATATTTATTACATTTAGAAAGTACTCCCTCCATCCCATAATTTACTTCCAACTTTCCCTTTTCGTTTGTCCCAAAAAGAACTTTCCTTTCCCTTTTTGGCAAAGAATTTGTGGTTCACATCAATTCTTACATATTTCTCTCTCCTCTGCACAACTTTCCACCACACAATTCCCACTTTCTTAATCCGTGTGCCATTTGTACTATGGAAGTAAATTCTGGGGCGGAGGGAGTAACATTTTTGTAAACAATATTTTTTTAGTGATATAAAAGAAGCATGTAACTATTTCTGAAATAATACTAAATGAAATATAAAGGTAAAAAGGATGTTAGTTTATATCTGATCAAATCAATAAATTTCCATGAAATTCTGAATGTGGAACTTCTAGATTTTTAGAATATTGAAGAATTCTAATGGGTGTCTTCAATCAATTATGCTCTTAAAAAAATCAATTAAGAGTTTAATAAGGATGTTTTTACTTGGACTGTAATTTGCTGGTCTGATCTGGTCTGGTCTGGTCTGGTCTAGTCTGAACTGGTCTGGTTTGATCTGGTCTGGTTTCTTTGTATTTTTATAACTATCCAAGTCTGGTCTGGTCTGGTCTGGTCTGGTCTGAACTGATCTGGTCTGGTCTGGTCTGATCTGGTCTGATTTGGTCTGGGATGAATTACAGTCCAAGTAAAAACATCCTAAAAAGTGGAGGTGCCCCGATTACAAATATATCGATTTAAATAAAGTAATTTTTATTAAATAAACAGCGAATGTCTATGTAATATTATAAATTTCTAACCTAAAATAAATTAATGTCATAGGATCAGCGGTTGTTACGTACGTATTAAAAAAATGAATTATAAAGAAATGATTCACTTCATACGGAGTATTCCCTCCGTCCCAATTTGATTTGCAAAATTTTCTTTTTTAGTTGTTCCAAATTGGTTTTACACTTTCTATTTTAGGTATGTAAATAAGAATAAAATGACAAATTTACTATTACTTTTATTTTTTCTCTATTAACTTAAAGACATTTACTTTTTATAAAGATAGACAAAAGTGTAAAAAGTAAACATCATTTATCGACATTTCTTAATCCTTGTGGCGATCAAAGTTTTCGATTAAAGATCTAGTGCCACCCTATGACCAAACACTCTCCAGCGAATAAAGTTAAGTAAGGAATTCAAAGCTCTTCCAGACCTGATATTATGCTGTCCCCGTCTTTTCTTTCCGCCATTTGCGATCTCTCAACCATTCTTTTTCGTGTGGAACGACATAAGTTGCCGCGAAATAATTGCACACCGTAAATCTCGCAACCTAATTGATTCTGTTTTCAACGTCGTGTTTGCGCAAAGCCATGCCCCGTCCGCTTCAGTTTTCGCTTCAAAAGACGCACGCAAAAGCACAACTGGCCTCTCTCCAATTTTCCACCTTCTTTTTCGCGTTCAATCGGGGCAAGAATCGCCCACACGCCGTACATCTCCTTCGCACTCTCCTTTCAAGGGTGTGCCTAAATGATACTATAAGATTATGCTTCCCCAGAAAAGAAAGAAATCTTGGGATTTCATTGAATGTCACATCTTTTTTGCTTGATATATTGTAAAGAATCAACAGAGCTTTTTTGATATATCCACTTCGATTTATGGGTAACCTGCATTTTCTATACATTGTAAAGAATCAATGAAGCCTTTTTGTTTCCCCTGATTTCCTTGTCGGATGAAATCAAGAGTGCTCGCATGTGTTATGTTAAGATCTCTGACTATGAAGTGCTTCTGTCTTTTTTTGTAAATCAAAAAAATTAATGGATAACCCTGCAGCACCCAGTTCTTGTTACTCAAGGATTGATCTCACATCGATCAAACATTAAGCGAAAATATTTCAAAATGATTCAGCTTTGTATTAAATTTACAACATAACATTGGTTTATGGCATTGTTTCTCGAATTGTTGTTTGCAGTAAGCTGTTAATGGTCTAACATCCAATTCTCTATCAGGGAAAATTGTCTGAGTGGCAACAATGGAGAGAAAAAAGCTTAATTTCAATGCCCCTCTTCTATCAGTGAGGAGGATCAACAGTGGTCATCAGTCAGAGAGAGTACGCAGAAAGCACATTGAAAATCCATTGCCTAACAATAGAGAGCAGTCCGTTTGTGCCCTGCAACCTGATCCTGAGTTGACTGAGGCTACAAGCAAAACACTTGCAGTCCCATTTTGTTGGGAACAAGCCCCCGGAAAACCCAGAGGTGAAAATGGAGGTGAAGTCCACCGATATGAGAATATGCTCCATTTGGGTAGGAAACCAAATTCCAGGCCCCAATCTAATGAAATCCCTCCATTCAAAGATCACGGTGCTTTACTGGACAGCTTGGTAGAGCGTATGTATGCAAAAGGGGAGTTTGATGCTCAAAGACGGGACTACTCTTATTCAGAGGAGGAAGGCTTAGATGATGTGTTCATGATGAGGCGTTCCATACGTGAATCGAAAGCTGGTTCCATACGTGAATCAAAAGCTGTGGTTTTGGTCACTGAAGAGCCAAAGCTGGTGAAGAACAAGTCAGTTGCAGTGGAAAGAAGGCATTATTATTATAGTGAGTATGCAGATGATGCAGCCATTGAGTACGATGAACACGAAGTGACTAGTTATCAACACAAAAGACCGCATAAGTTTTGGAAGCTTTTCCATCGGCTTCGTGTTAAGAGTTCGTCTGAGGGACCAAAGACAAGAAACCCTGAGGCCTCCCCATCATTAATAAATGGGCCTGGAAGAAAAACTGGAAATACTCTTCTTAGCAGATCTCGTAGCCAGTCCAGAAAAGCTTATAGTGGACCTCTTGGAAAGGTAGAAACTTTAATTTCTTTAACATTTAGTATTATCTAGCTTGTGCTGCAGACTGAGCAGCTTTTGACATACTTAGTTTGCTTTTCATTGTAAGAAAAATAAAAAAATCCAATCATTTCAGCCTGATGAATCTTTACTTATTCATTATCTTTTTCCACTTGGGCTTCGTTTCTTCCCTGGAAAATGCAGGCCTGGAAAGATTTTCCTGTGTCTAGCAAACTTTTGTGAAAATCAAGCAATTTTTTTTCCTTTTTTTGTAGATTAAACAATATTTCCATTTTATACATAGAACTATAACTACTTCATTATCTAATAAGTGAAATAATGTTTTCCTGGAAAACAGTTTCCAAGAAAATGTTTTGCAAAACAAGTTATTTTCTTGCAATTGAATGGATAGATAGTAAAAATCCCCTATCTGCACAGCAGCCTTGTGATTCAACCTACCAGCAAAGATTTCATTCTGGGGCGTTATCAGGGGAGCTATTTAAAGTGGGCAAAAGAAACATATCCAACCAGATGTCTCACTCCAGAAGTGCCACTGCATCTCCTGTCCGGAATTTTGCTTCTTCATCTCATTCTAGTGACCGGACAAGATTTCTCGGGGTACCAAGAGAATTGGAGAATTTCAAAGGTGGTTATCATCATCATGACATTCTGACATGGAACACGCACACAGGAGGATCAAATTCACCCATCAACGCGGTTGAGAAAACAGTATATGTAGATTCTGTGAATTATGTGAAAACTCCCAGTCTTGATTCGTTTCATTCAAAACCCAAGGCGGTTATCGAAACTTTGAGTCATGTGAAACCTCCAGAAGAATTGAAGGGCATCTCAGATAGGGGCAAAGGTTCAAAAAACATGAATCAAGAGCGGATAAATCAGCAACAAGGTTTAAAAGAATTGGAAATTGTTCACAGGAATGGAAATACAAGTAGGAGCAGTAAAGAATCTTCATATCCACCCTTACCTAAGTCACCAACAGAATCTTGGCTTTGGCGTACACTGCCTTCAGTTTCTCCGCGAAGCAATATTGACAATATAGATAAGAGTCCAAGGGCTGCTACTAATCCTGCTATCAGACGGGAGGTCACTGTGAAATCTTGCAATGAGAACCTTAGTAACAACTCCTATTATTTTGAGGTAACTTGTACTAAAGGGTCGTATGATAAAAAAGCGCCCAAAAGTTTTTTTTTTCCTGAGCAAGTAATGCCCTTTAATAAACACTACTGATATCTTTTATCCCTCATGCAGGAACTTGTTCCTCATGGCTCTCACCTTTGGTAAGAGCCACTCAATGTGGAAGTGTTCACTTCAAATACTGCAAGTTTCTTTTTATCTAGTCATTGAAAGTGGCTTTTCTTGGTCATGTTTAGTACCAAAAATTAAGGTGCCACATTCCTTTTTTTTTGACATACTAGAACTCCCTCTCTGAGGTTTTTGTTTAGGGGGAGGGCGTAAAAGAGAGAATGATGTTTTATTGTTTTGGAGTACTTAGTTCAGCAATTCATAGCTTTTGTTTGGACTCTTCGAATGACATTGTGGGGAGCCAAGAAATTCCTAGTTTTATAACTTAGTTGAGTTTTGATTCATTTCAAATTAATTTTCTGTTTCCTCGAGTGGGAATTTCTATATATGTTGCTTAGTTCTTATGGTAATCAAGTGATGTATATCTGGAAATACATTTACATAATATGTCATTTTAGGAGCATCTCTGAACTTTTTTTCATTTTAAAAAGTCACCAACTACTAGGATGATGTTCTTAATTGAACTCTTTTCATTGAATTTCAAGACAAGCAGATTAGATCAAATTATACTTCGATTCGTTTTAAATACACATAAAACAGACATCTTTTAGACCAATTCAGAATAGACAAGATTAGACCAGAAAATTTCCCTTCAATTGAAAGCATCCTCGTATTTCTGGTCAACGGTGATTATTGTTAAAATGCAGGCTTGCATGCATGGACTAGCCCATGCCCATTAGAAGGATCTGGAAAGCATATTTAAAGGGTTGTCATTCCATCACCACAAACATAAATATAACAAATAAAGCTATTTAAAATATCCACTTTACGCATTTAATTAATATTATTATTATGCATAAGCAAAAGAAGCATTCCATAGATTTAGAGTGTGAATTGTGATAATAACAAATCCACACACGAACTACTTAAAATTATACATAAGACATTTAACATTGAGATCTACACCCATTCCTTCTACCCCTTGGTCACACATGCACCTACATAAACACGACTCCAAGACGGAAGAGGCAAGCTACGAGAGAACTACACAATACACTATATACGCTCTCTCTACCCTTGCTACACAGGCTCATCCTAAAGGATAATTCATCCATTTATGGCTTCCCAAGAAGCTTGTAATATGTACATGTGATAGGAACCAGACAATTCGTGTATATTAAGCAAAGAATTCAGAGAAATCTCAGAATTCCTGAAGCACTTGCAATGTCAGAAACCATAGCTAGCCTACAAGAAAGACAAGAAACAGATCCCAGTCCCAATTTCTCCCCCCCTCCTTTCCTCACCCAGCTCTCACTCTTACACTTGATCCAAAAGGTGGAATCTCCCACCCTCGGAGCCCCCCCACACCCGACCGTACATGGCACGTGGGAGGATGTAAATCATGGTGACTCAGTCAGCGAACGTGGCAGTAAGCCCATATACCCGTGCGCGCCAGAGGTCTAGCCCATTTCAGAGGTTGTAACCTCCACACGGTCGTTACGGGGATTTGCACCATTGTAGCTCCCACTCTTACACTAATTCTATTCTTAAGGGCCGGCCCAAACCCATGACATACATCATGAGAAAAAGGGTCAAATGAGTACATTAAATTGTACACAACAGAGTAAAGAGTACATTATATTGTAACTGAGATTTACAGGTACATAAATTCGAGATTTTAGTGTTAATTCAATACAAGTTTGAGTTTAACGATAAAAACAGCTGATGTGGCAATTAATTAGCGTTTCTTTGATAATTCTTGGAGTCCAACTGAGCATCATCCTTATCGCCTTTCTCTTTGTATCTAACCCTAGCGTTATGAATTTCATCCAGAGAAAAGTTTCGTTCTTCAGTACTCTTCCATTTTTTTCTCCTCCAATCTCATCTCATCCATGATATTCTTGTTCACTGCAAACACATATATTCAACAATTGCAAAATTCACACAACAACAATTGATCTCCTGCCAAAATTCACACTGTAGCAAAATTTAACAATGGTAAAATTCGCATCCTCTCAAGAGTCAAGAGTGCTCTGGTCCCCTACGAATGCTTAGGGCGAACTTGTTCCATAGCAATTGAGCATTTCTCGGTAAAGAATAGGTAAAATTTACCCGTTTAGATACCCAACAATCTTTCTTTGACATTTAAATATGCAATTATCCCTTTGCAGTATCCTCGCTTCATCTCTACAACACAATCTCACCCTTTTCACCCCATATAAACTGTGGCCTGTGGGTAAGTTGACAAGCAATGAATGTACTCCCTACTCTGCAACTCAATTAAATCTCCATATTCGTAGGGGATTAAGAGCACAAGCCTTATCCCCCACAGCTTCACTTTACCACCAAATTCCCAAAGATTCCAAGGTTCGACTGCTTCGGGCGGTGAAAGATGGTCGACACTCCTCTTTCGCAGTTCAGAATCAGATTGGAGAAAAATTATTAGGGCTTGGAAACTAATAATGTGTAGTAAGGAGATGACGTGGCTTTAATTTTGCTATATCAGTAATTCCTTAGCCACATCAGCCATATTAACACGCCAAATCAAACATATTAATGTCTAACTTTAAATTTGTACCGAATTAACATCATATTTCCGAGTTTGTGTACCTGTAAAGCTCAATTGTAATATAACGTACTCTTTACTCCACCGCATACAATTTAATATACTCATTTGACACTTTTCTCCATACATCATACATGGCCCGAAACCCTTATTTTCACTCTACCACCCTTACATATCATTATTTTCTTCGGGCAAGGATCCTATCAACATGTAGTTGCTTGACGTGCACTTTGTCGTGGTGTGCAGTCAAAATAATAATTACAATACAACACTTATACGTAGTATAGTGTAGTAATGTTCGTATCCACAGGGAAAGGAATACTTTTCTTTTATATAAATAGTAACAAGAGGGGTTTTAAGTTTGATTTGATTTAATTTAATTAACACTAAAATAAACGACTTATATGCATTTAATTAATAGAGACGAGGACTTGATTTTGCTTTTATCCACTTAATGAAATGTTCGTCGATCCCAGTTATATCTTTAACTATCTTCCTCTCGAATACTCAATCGAGGAGTATATGCAGTTCATCGAGGGTAGTTATTAATAACGAGACACGTTCATTAATAAAACTTACTACCGAGTCAATATAGAACACATGCCATATATTAGCCCGATAGTAGCAATAAACTTAAGATGAAAATGATTGTGGTTCTTTACAAGAAGCTGAAGTTTGGTGGCAAATGAAGGTCATTCCAGGCAAAAACATATCAGAAGCAGTGAGAAACTATTTGGACTGCAAGTTAGAGCCTCACTGGGCAGAATGCAGAATCCGAGGAATCTAGCCTCTATCAGAGCCAAAGTCAACGCAGAGCTCAAGAGAATTGATGAAGCTGATGCACAGGTAGGAGAAGAAGACTCTTAAATTCTTCTATCTCTTGTATTTGTATTCTCTGATAATAAGATACCAACTCTGCCTCTACTTTGCATGACATCTTCAATTATATGTTCATCTTTGCTTTCCGTGTTTATATTTGTTTCCTGCTCTGATACCTTTTTTTCTTTATTGATTGCTATCTGATTGTATCGCACTCTTACTATTTTCCTATGCTAAGTTGCCCACCAAGATTTTAATGAAAGTTCCTGTACTTTATTCTTTTATGGTGAAGGCACTTCTCTGGAAATAGTTAAAGAGTTTTGGCATCATCAAAAAGGGGGAAATTGTAAGGAATAAATGTAATTAGATTTTGATCAGGGCCGGCTCGACACATTAAGAGACCCGGTGCAAATAACAAAAATGAGGCCTTTTATTCGATAAAATGCATAGATCTATGGTACATATGAATTGTTCAAATCCAGACTTGCTACAAGCATATCAAAATCATCCGGCACATTGAGTACAATAAAGCATCCAAATAAAGTAAAGGGTTCAAATTTAAGCACATCATTTAATTAAAAAGAGTCATTCTCCTAGCATTCTTCAAAGCAAATTCATCAATCCGTTCTTGGCAGTCCACTTTCTCCAAGACTTCTTTCTCTACGATTATCAACACTACCATTAAGTCTGTTGTGACATTGTTGAACGAAAGTAAGACTTCAAAATCTTCAACTTTCGAAAAGCTTCTTTCTGCAGAAGCAAGAGTCACAGGAATAGTCAACAAAATTCCAGACCTGGCATTTCCATTATCATTCACAATTATCACATCATCACAACCAATCACATTAAAATTTTGATTTTCAACAGAAACTTGAGGGTCTCTTTTGATAAATTTATCAAGAGCTCCTGCTTGAGATTTAATTAATGCTTCAACTTTTCTTTTTTCAACAGCTTTTCATGACCAGATTCATACTTTTTCATTCGAGGAGCCATAATATCAAGAATCAAGAAATCAAAATAACCTCAATTAGAGTTAAAAAAAGAGGGAAACAACCTGATATTTGGAAGTTGGAACTTTATTTGGAAGACTCGGACAAAAGAATCAGAAGATCCAATACCGATGTAGCGAACTAGCTATGCACTGCCTACTGCCCTACCTTGCTGTTCAGTTCATAAAATCAGAAAGTAACGAATTAAAATGATAAAATCGCAAATTCATAACCTAAGAGGCTAAGAAATCAGATTAAACAAAGTGAATGACTTTACCTTTGGCCGGATAACTCGACTAGTTGAATGGTTCGGCCAAGTCAAGCAATCAACTTTTTGATTTTTTGAGAAGAATCGCAAAGAGCTTCAAACCCTAAATGGCCAACATATGAGAAGCAAAGAGAAGATAGGAGATAGAGTAGCGGTGCATTTGTGTTATGCGGACTTGTGTTTGGGAAGTGGGATGGTTTTTAGGCTTTTTTTTTGTTTTCATTTGATTTAATTTGGAGGCTGGAGCGTAGATGTAGGGTTTTGAGTTGGGCCTAGTTTAACCGTGTTTCAAAAATTCCGAATGGGCCATTCGTGTTCCTGTTTAAAAAAATTATTTATAAATTAAATAATTACTTTATATATATATAATATATATATTTTAAAAAAATGGGCCTTCTATTTTTTGAGGCCCTGTGCAGAGGCCCTGTTTGCACAGCCTCATCTACGGCCCTGATTTTGATGATGCTAGGTTAATTAGAATTTGAAAGTACCCCTATAGAAATTTTGTATTAGAAGTTTCTTTGTAAGTATTAGCATAGTCGACATGCCAGAAACCCTCTTGGTCTTCTTGATCAGAACATCTACTAGAGTTGCTCCCAGAGTTGCTCTCAAGAGAAGCTACCAGAGTTGGGTACCAGAGTTGACATCAGAGGCAGACATCAGAGTTCGGACCAGAAAGCCTCATCAGACTTGCTCTTACTTAGCAGAATTCGAAGGCACTTTCCAACGACCGTG